CCTCAGCCCCCTCAGCATGTGCACGGCCTCACACGCGTGTGCACAGCCTCGTGTGTGTGTGCACGGCCTCACGTGTGTGAGTGCACGCCCCCCCATGCATGTGCGCACAGCTCCACACGCACGTACACAGCCCCACGCAAGTGTGCACGGCCCCACAAGCATGTGCACGGCCCCAGATGAGTGTGCACAGCCCCACAAGCGTGTGCACGGCCCCACAAGTGTGTGCATAGCCCCACACGTGTGTGCACAGCCCCACAAGCGCGTGAACGGCCCCACATGACCATGGCGGCCCCACACGTGTGTGCGTGGCCCCGCGTGCGTGTGAACAGCCTCACCTGTCTGTGCATGCCCCCACACGCATGTGTGTGTGCACGGCTCCACACGCACGTACACGGCCCCACGCAAGTGTGCACGGCCCCACAGGAGTGTGCACGGCCCCACATCTGTGTGAACAGCCTCACGCGTGTGCGCACGCCCCGACACGCGCATGTGGGTGGCTCCACACACATGTACACGGCCCCATATGCATGTGCACGGCCCCACACGCGTGTGCAGGACCCTAACATACACATGAGTGGCTGCACATGCGTGTGAGCAGCCCCACATGTGTGTACACAGCCTCACACGTGTGTGCATGGCCCCACATGTGCGTGTGCACACCTCCACACATACATACGTGGCCCCACACACATGTGCCCGGCCCCACACACGTGTACAGGACCCCAACATGCATGTGAGCAGCCCCACATGTGTGTGAGCAGCCCCACATGTGTGTACACAGCCTCACACGCGTGTGCATGGCCCCACATGTGCGTGTGCACACCTCCACACGTACATACACGGCCCCACACGCGTGTGCCTGGCCTCACACACACGTGCCTGGCCCCAAACCCCGGGGGGCTGCGTGTGCAGGGCCCTGGCACGTGTGTACACAGCCCCACACGCGTGTGCATGGCCCCACGTGTGCATGTGCACACCTCCACACGTACATACACAGCTCCACACGCGTGTGCCCGGCC